TTGTGATGAAAAGTGCCAATAAGGCATGTTATCTTGGACCACCCTTAAAACTGCTTTGTATGAGTAAAAAACTATATAAGTTTCTGAAATATCATGCATTATTTCTTCATCTATTTGTTATCTGAAAAAAACTGTAGATAAAATGAACTGGCTTTAGCCCCACTTCTCTTTGTTAATCCTTATTGAAAACATGGACTGCTTCTTCAAGGATAAGGCTTGAAAAGGCCTAAACAGTATTTTTTTTTAAAAAATGTATTGTTCTTATTGAATTATTTTCATGTCACTCTTAGACCCCCCACTTCATTATGTTTATGCCTACTAGGCCAATTCATACTATAGCATTTCTTTATATAATAATATTCGAGCCTTGAAAATGGATAACCTTTCATTAATAGCATTCTACTCTCCTTTGTGGGTCTACCTACCCCATACAAAATCCGAATTAATCACTACCGGATTCTTTTTAAGGCCACTTGTGAGTGAGCTAGCTCACATTATTGATTTCAAGTTCAGAAAAAGGAGGGTTGCGACAGATTGACACCTGGCGTAAAACTTCTCAATTCATGATGAATGATATGAAATGAGCTCAAATAAAGTAGTGATGATTCATACAACCGACTCTAATTTCTTTTTTCGGACTTAGACTCACAAAGTGATCCAACTTTTGATGACAAGATCGATCCTTTAGACGAACATGCTATGATAAAAAGGAAAGAATATCCAAAATCGTTAGTTAATGTGAAGTAGAACCGTCTTTATGGGGCCTCAAATAGCGAACGGATAAAACCCAAAGTAGAACCGCCTTGGAGAATAAATATGGTCTCATGTCTTGTTTGATAAGAGTTCTTGGCTTTCTATGCATTAGTTGTGATGTTAATTTTGAACAAAACATTTCATTGTACGAAATTGTGACATGTTGGTAATAACACACACACATAAATTCTTACGTTAAGGGATTTGTCCAATCAATTGTTAGCAAGAATGACATCAAATGCCACACATACTAAATTAACATTCTTTATTCTGCCAAATTATTTTTCTCAGTAAATGGAACAATACATAGTCGAATTCAGAATTAGAATCGTCATGCTCTTTATATAAAAACAAAATATAATTATCGTCAAGATAATCCGATACACATTTTATTCTAGTGAATTATTTTTCTCAAGCAGCATTCATCAATGATATAAGAAAAATGATATGACTAACATACATGTAGATTAACATTTAAATTACAAAAATATAAAATCGCCGTTGTCAAGAAGATGTTACATAGTAATACACTTTATATTTTGTCTAGTTACTTAACGTGACAATTATACAAGTAGATTATCACACGTTAATTGATTAAGCTCTTACAAAAATACAGTTATTATTGACAAATGACATGTCATAATTTGGTTGTTTTTTTATCATATTATTATTATTATTTGGACCAATTGACCAATGGCTGCATGACATCTAGAAATTAAAAGAAACAAGACATTTATGTAGGCACCAAGGAAGATGGGTACTTGACTAAGTAGTTCACTTGCTATGTTTTTTTGTTTGAAACAAAGTGATGTGTGCCCCCTTCTGAAATGACTTCTAACAAACCCTCTAGATAGGGCATAATAAGCCCATCAGATTGACGAATTCAGAATTTAAATTTATCGAATTCAACTTTTAGTATTGAATACGTTGCAGTGTTGAATTATTGGTTTAGGTTTAATATTCGTTGAGATTTTAGTAATTTTTTACGTATATATTTATATTTAAAATTAAAAATTATGAATTCAGATGAACCTACCGATAACGAAAATGCTATATTTTGCTTTGATTGGATGAAGTTTTTTCAAATGACCCAAGAAAGCTGGCCATTTTTGTTTCCTTTTTTCATTTGGCTTTTTGTGAATAGAGGGGTGAGGGGGTTGGGGGGGGGGGAATGGACCCCTTGTTTAGTAATACCCCATTAGTTAAATTTTGGGTCCCTAATTATTTTGTTTCAACATTTCTTGGTTCATATGAATCTTTCCAAGTTTAGATAGATGCCATCAATTTATTATTATTTTAAAAAAAATAATAATTATGAACAAAGAAACGTGTTTGGATATATGTTATTTTCAGGAAATAATATTTTATTATGAAAAAAAATTTAAAAAAGAAATTCAAGACTCTCTATTTTTGTTATTATTATAGTGGTGTTAGAGTCAGATTATACTACTTTTAATTAATATATTAATGAATAAGCCTTCTTATTAATGTTTAAATAAAAGGAAAAATTAATCTTGCACTTTTTTTTGGCTTTGTTGATGTTTCAAGACCAACTTATTTCAAACAATTTTTTTATTATTTTAAATTGTTTTTTCTTATGAAGGTCAAGAAATTTTGTTTGAAAAAGTAAAAGACATAAAATTATTTTGGAATAAAAGTAAGAAAGGAATAATTGAATCTAAGAGAGCAATGAACCAAAAAAGATGCCATCTATAATTAACTTCAGTTAAAAATTCAAGTCTAATTGTGGTTGTTTTGTCCATATTTAATTTAATATGTCATCACCATCTTTCTAAATTTGCATTGCACTCATTCTAATCATCCTCTTTTGATTCATCAATTTTTATTTCTTTCCATTTTATTCTCTATCCGATATTTAATATTTATTTAAAATCGATGAGATCTGAATTCATACAACAAAATTTCACGTTAATAAAAATAACTTTATACCTAAAGTTTAAACCGGAAACCTCTTATTTAACATTTTGTCTTCTAACTTGCTAGTTATGCTAAAGATTAATAATTCCTTTGATTTTTTCACAAAAATGAACATTCACTATTGCATGCTTGTAGGAGAAAAAGTGTTTTGAAAATAAAAATTCTTTTTGACTATTTACTATTGCTTCAAGGGATTGCGTTCCTTACAATTGGTCTACTCTTTTTTTTTCCTTTTCCAACAAATCCACCAAGTGGGTCAAATTTATATTTAATCTTTAAGTGAAAAAACATTTATTTTTATTTTTTCTAGAAAAGATTACAATATTTTACTCTTTTTTTTTAAAAAAATAAAGGAAATAAAAAAAGAGCTGTTCACAAATTATTTAGGCTTTATAGTACTTCTGATTATTTGTTTACGGATAAATTCTGATTTTAGTACTTATAATATTTGATTATGAACCTCTATTGTTAAATTAATTGAAATTTATTTGTAATCCTTTTACTTATGAATAGTCAAATATTTGTCATATCAATTATTTCATTACTTAATTATATATATGTTATGTTAAATTTATATTATTGCAACATATTTGACCGTTTCTTAAAAAAAATACTTGAAATATGATACCCCTACATAAAAGGAAAAAAACATATTTTAATTAATTAAGTATGCTTAGTTAAATAAAAAATAATTAAATTTACTCTTAATATGGGACCAAAAATGTTACTATCCCAGTTTATAAACACTTTTTTAAATGATTTAATTGTTTACTCTCATGTCCCAAAAACATATTAATTTCAAAATGTAGATAAATATTTGCTTAATCATGTAGCTATAATTTCAAAATGTAGATAAATAACATAAATTAGTTAATTAATTAATTGGTAACAAGTTTTATTAATTCTTTATAATTATGTGAAAGATTATTATTAAAATTTGCCTTTTCAATTTTTCAAAACAAAGGAAGATAAGTAGCTCGAGCAATCACAAATAGGGGTAGTCATAACTCATAATTCATAAACACTAAAATTGAACTATTGAGTCGAATTAAGATTTATCATATCAAAGTTTGTTAATTTAATATTAGATAAGTTTTTACTTTTATTTGTAGATTATTCAATTGTTAAAATTAATCTTTAAAAATATCGAATACTTATCCTAATAAGAAATAACAAGTTGGAGACTTACCTATAACATTAAATTATAATTATTGCCTACAAAATATGGCAAAAATAGTACTCTCTATTAATTTTAGGTGTATATGAATGGACAAAAAATTACGTGAATAACAAAAAATTTAAACACGCAAAGAATAAATCACTAATAAAAGCCAAAGCTATTCTTCTCAAGTCCCTTTCAAAAAAATAAATAAATTTAAATTTAGAAGATAACAGTTGGCATTTTGACCCCAATTATTATACTTAATTAATTAACATTTTTATAATATGGAAACTAAGATATCAATCTTTTTTAATATATATATATATATATATATATATATCAAATTCACCCTCCTATTCTTTTGCCCAATAGAAAATAAAGTTACACCACCAAACCCATAATTCTTTTGAAAAAAAGGGTTTTTCAATTCTTATTTGGGTAATTACCACTTTTTGTTTATTCAATTATTAATAAATTCTAATTTTAATCTTCATCCTAATCGAACGTAAAGTATCGAGTGTGTATATCAAGTCAATACATGCATATTATATGTTTAAATTTATACTGCATTTTACTCCATTAAATCACGTAATGATAAAAATTGCATTAATTTAATGTAAACACTCAGTGCGAAAAAATTTCCCCCCAAATTTAATGTACTATGATCCCTTTACTTGTGAATCTTGCAAATTTACGAGAATTATTAACTACTGCATTTTTTTAATTATCAGTTTATTATATTAAATATGTATTATACTACTCGATATTTGAGGATAGTATAATTTTAAATATAATAAAAATATAACATATTGTTACACGTGTAAAGATAAATATACATATTTTAATTAAGTAAAGGTTAAAATATGTTTAATTCTATAACATAAGGAGCAAAATCAGAATTTAAAAATTATTGAGGTACCAAAAATGACATTATTCCTTCTTATTTCTTTTTAAATTTTTTAATAATAGATTTTTTTAATTTTTTATATCCTAACATCCATATATTCCCTTCTCCTCACCCACCCAAATATCCATTCATTCTTGTGACAATCCCTTCTTATCACCTCCACATTTTAATTTTTAAAAGTTTCTATAATTATAATATTATTTCTAAAAAGTCCTTCAAGTTTCTTTTTTCTCCCTTTTAGTCTCAACAAACACAAAGATAAAAAGCCTACTAAAGTCATTAGCAATTTAAAACCAAAATTTTTGATTAGTTACAAAAAAAATAAAAAATTATATCATAACAATATTATTGTTGTTGTGTTTCTGACATTGTGGGTCAGAATCTTTTGTGGTTTTTTTCCTTTTCTTCATTCATGGGGTTGTTCTTAGCTTAGCAGACAAGCACTTAAAAAAAGAACAAATTTTTAATTTTTATTTTTTCAACTTTTGACATTTCTTGATAAATTGGCTTTGAATTTTTCATTATGAGTAGTAAAGAGTTGTTGAGAATGAAAACTAAAAAGGCAAATGGGAATGGAGTTTCATCATCAGGATGGGAAATGAGGCCAGGAGGAATGTTAGTACAAAAGAGAAGTTCTGATCATAATTCAAATCAAAGTTCAAATATTGTTGTTCCAATTATTAGACTCAAAGTTAAATATGGTTCATCTTATCATGAAGTCAAAATTAGCTCACAAGCAACTTTTGGTAATTTTTGATAATTTTTTTTTTGGTTATGCAATTGTTATATTCATATCGATCACTCAGCTCGAAAAATCATCTTCTTTGCTTAGTTGAGTGATCATACGAGAAATCAACTGTGTCTGTAGAATGAGGAGTCTTTTGACATGAATTACACATCCATATATATACCTTTGATATGCAATATTTCAATTCATATTTCAAAAGGGTTGTCATAAAATGAGAAATCTTGAAATGAAATTTCATATTCATACTTTTTTTTCTTTGCATTTTTTCATTCATCTATTAAAAGGGTGTTCATAAAATGAGGAATCTTGAAATGAAATTGCACATTCATACTTTGATATGCATTTTTTTTCGTTCTTTTCTCAAAAGGGTAGTCATAAAATGAGAAATCTTGAAATAAAATTGCATAATTCATAATTTATTTATTTTTTTTTTTTTGCATTTTTTCCATTCATCTCTCAAAAGGGTGTTTATAAAATGAGGAATCTTGAAATGAAATTGCATATTCATAATTTGTTATGAGTTCTATTTTCCATTCATTTCTCAAAAGGGTGTTCATAAAATGAGGAATCTTGAATTTTACAGGGGAGTTGAAGAAAATGTTGGCAGGGCCAACTGGATTACATACTGAAGATCAGAAAATATTTTACAAGGAAAAAGAAAAAGATTCTAGAAATTTTCTTGATGTTTCTGGTATAAAAGATGGATCAAAGCTTGTACTAATTGAAGATGAAATAAGCAGAGAAAAAAGGTATCTTGAATCAAGAAGAAATGCAAAAATGGAAAATGCATCAAAAGAAATCACATCAATTAGACTTGAAATTGATAAACTAGCTAAACAGGTAACAAGAATTATATTTCCTAAATTACAAAAAAAAAATATTTTTTATTTTTATTTTTTATGTCAAAGTATTTGATCTTTGTTTTTTTTTTCCTTCATGTTTTATGGTGTAGGTTGCAAATGTTGAAATGGACATTTATGGTGGCAAAAAAGTAACAGAGACTTTGTTATTGAGTTTGATTGAAATGTTAATGACACAATTGATTAAGTTGGATGGAATTACTGCTGATGGTGATCTTAAATTACAGAGAAGAATGCAGGTATACATCAATTCAACATAGTTTTTGTCATTATAAAATTTTCTATGTTGAAGTTTTCCAAAGATTAGTATTTTTGAGATTTAGGAGTCGCTTCGTATGAGATATAAGATATAACATAATAATCATAAAGATAGAATGCATGACTATTTTACGCAATGTTTGGTTGGAGGTATCAGACAGTTCTGAGATTATTTATCCCACTGTTTATACTTTAGTAATGGAATAAATTATCACATATACACGATGGAATACTTATCCTATAATAATTATCTTGAGATTAACAACTTGTTCCCAACGAAACAACTCGTTATCATGTAGTTTACTAAGATGTTTCTTTTAGTTAGTTAGCTTATGTGAACTAGCTAGTTATTATTAGTTCTTCCTTGATCTTTCTCTACAACAACGCCTCAATTGCAAACAACTTGTATCGGCTATATGGTGACGGAGCCACCCTTCTCCATGGGGTGACTAAGTAATGTAGATATTTTTTTATATTTTGACCTTTTTTAGTGAAATCCGTGACTCAATTGTTGACTATATGAATTCTTACTATCCATATTATTTCATTTAAGTTTTACTTTGGGAAATGACTAATTATTTTTTTGTTGATAAATTGTAGGTGAAAAGGGTGCAAAAATACATAGAGACTCTAGACATGTTGAAAATAAGAAATTCAACACTTGGAAATGACAATGCCAAAGTGTCAATGAAGCACAAAAATAGAATATTCACAGGACAAATGGCAAAATCAATTTATTATCAACAAGAACAAAGAAAGATGGGAAATTTTGCTGATGAGAAAAGCCCAGGGCCAGTTGTAGTGACAACAAAATGGGAAACTTTCTAAGAATTGATTAATAAATAATAATTAAAAAAAGCCTAAGGAATATTAGTGTGTGCTTTGAAAATATATATATATATATATATATATATATATATAATTCAGTGGCTTTGGTGGAAAGGGTATAAAGTTAGAGGGTACATAAATAAATTTTGGTTTTGTGAATTCATTTGCCTTCATTTCTTTTTCCTATTTAGATTTTTGACCCCAAATGTTTTTGGGGTTGAAAAAATAATGTGGTGATATGTTATGTAGCCTTTGAATTCCAAGTTGTATAAATGTGTATATATAATGCCAGCATCTGGTGAATTAGAAAAGGTTATGGTTTTACTTAGAATTGAATTTTATATAATAAACGATGTCTTATTAATTACTAAAAAACTTTATCGATAGTATAAGTCCATTTCTCAAATATATAAGTAGATATTACTTAGCCTGTCACGGTAATTTTATGACATAGTGAATATATATAATTTTCTTCTAAAAGTATCTTAGTATATATATCATTAAAGTGAAGGGTAAGCTAGCTAGGTGGTATCCCATTAGTTTTTGATATATTCTCTAAATAGAATATGTGCATGTGATATACAATAATATAGGCTTGATTTGTGCGTGCTTTATGCTCACCATGAATCTACTCGATATAAATTTAAATCAGTCAGATCAGCAAACTTTAAAAATGTTAAATTATAAAGAGGGAGGGGGGGGGGGGGGGGGTTCTAACTGTTTGCAATTATTGACTATTTCTTGTTATTTTCATGCCTTTCCTTTCTTTTTGTCTCGCAAATTCAATGTGATTTGGGACCATTTTGCCAACAAACAACTTTGCTTTTTGGTGTATATGGAAAACTTTTTTCTGAATTAGATTCCATTTAATGAAGAATATGATTATAAGTTAGTTAGGAAGCATAAAGATCTAAAATGTTGGTTGTGAGGTTGCAAAAGGTGATTAATTAAAATTAAACATTGGACCGAAAGAATAAACCTTTTGGTAAAATATTTAATAATTATACCATAACTAATCACACCAAAATGATAAAAAGTATAGGGTTGACTTTGGAGGTCATGGTAATGATCATTTTGGATTGTTTAATCAGTTGGATTCCACCTTGTTACTAATTATTTATATATTTTATTTATTTATCATCACATTTTGAGAAAAATAACAATATCTACAATAACATAATATTAGATGAGTCGACCAATTTCTTCATTAAGCTACTTCCTGTAACGCTCTGAATTTATATTTTAGACGTGATAAATATTCAAAACTGTTATTGCCTCGAGTTAACCATTGGTCTGATATATAGTAAGACTGAATATTCACATAATATTCATCTTTCAAAAGCTTTTGTATTAGTGAGTATTCAGTCTTATATTATACTAGATCAAGAATTCGTATGATCCAATTATAATTTCGAGAGTTAATCATGTCCAAAGTTAAATCCTGACTTTAGTTGCTTAGTTGGGATAGAACCCCACCTCCACCCTCACCCTCACCCCTTGTGGAATAATTGAAGGGATGTGGCACGACTTAATAACATATTTATTTTGAATATGTAAAATATCACGAGTTTAAATGCCAAAAAAAACTCTTTCTCAAGCAGCCGGCCAATTCATGTCAATAATTATTGTCTTTTTGTGATATGTCATAAACAATATTAATAATACCATTTATGTGAATTTCAACTCTTTGATCATTGAAATGAATTTTCAAATGAAAATTTCATTTTCTCCACTTCATCATAAAGTTAATCAAGCATTCATATTAGTAGTTTAAAGGTATGACTTTAAAGGATACTTATAATTGTAAATTAACTAATGACTTTTTTTTTTTGTTTAAAGGAATCAAAATCCTAAAATTCCAAAAAGGCATTTAATAGCTGAGGTAATATATAAAATAAAAATCAAGGACAAAGCAATGGATAATAATAAGAAATTATATTCTAGAATCATATAATTATTGAAATGCTTTGCCCAACAAATGAGGAACCATGAATAATGAACTAAAATGGTATTAATTCTTAACTTTATTTTTTTATTAAGTATTTCTTTTTAGCATTCCATATATATAGCAATAATTGTTCATTATTGACTTAACAGTTCTGCTGTGCAAAAATGGGATATGCACTTGAAATGGACGTCCGAGTTAAGATATATATCATGAGCAATACGGAAATAGATCGAGTAATCTGGACATAAAAATTGAAAAGCAGTAAATGATAGGAGTAAATTTTCCAAAACGATCTTATTAAATATTAGTCAACTAAACATTGAAAAATAAATAATACTAGTATTTAATATAAATATACAATAGACACAACATAGTAAATTATTTGTTAATCTTATAAACTAGACTAATATTATTGAACATTCTTAAATAATAAAGTGAACAAGTAAAGAGGAACGGAGAAAATATAAAAAAATCTTCTTTATAATTTTTTTCAATCATTTAAAGTTGAGGAAACTCATATTCTTTGGTTTATTCTCCCCTCTCTTTAGATATGTTCAAATCTCATGAAAATAGAGACAAATTTGGTATTTAATTGCAAGTTGACATTCTTGATATAGAAGCGATGAAGTAAAAATTGACATGAAATAAGTGAAATGAAAATTGGTCCCAAATAGAATATAAAAGGTCAAAATAACTTTTGAAATTATAAATATTAATTATGAACTCAATTATTATTATATATTAATTTGGGATAATTATAGTAATTTATGAGGTTCGAATTTTGAATTTGTCGTCGTATAAAAAATATGTCAACAATTTATCTATAGAAAACAAATGATCAACAAACATTATAATGAAATAATAAAATTTGAAGTCTAGGTAGTATGAATTCACCTTTGTTAAAAAAAGTTTTACCACCAAATATATATTAGACTTACTACGTGTTCTGATACGAATATCAATTATAGGTATGAAAATCTCCTTTATTAAAAATTGTTTTATCCTCAATATATATAAGACTTTTCGATATGAATTTAGATGAATAAATTTCAATACGAATATCATATACGAAGCGAAACTAAATAAAGTAGATTGAAAACCAACCCAAAATAAAAGCTATAAAAGTTGAGTGGAGACTCAATCACTCATGGAATTTCCCACAAAGCTATAGGTATTATATTCTCTTCAAAAATAAAAGAAGGTGAAAAAAAAAGAGAGAATATATGCTGCTTATAATTAGTAGTAGAAGAAGAGACATCACACACTAGATGGGACCTAAATCACATAGAATAAAGAGAACATTCCTTTGTCCATCTTACAATTATTATTACAGCAAAAAATGCACAAATGTGGAATTATTGCTATACCCAAAACCTTATAATTGCCAAGAACATGTACTCCTTATTTGTTAGGAGATTTTCTCCCTAGTGACCAAGGTGGAAGTACAAACTTTTCAATGTTTTGTTTTTGGTATACAATTTTTATCACAAGAGATTGATAAATAAAATATAAGAAATTTGCAATAAAACATAGTAGATGTTTGTAAGATTATAAAGTCATATTTCATATTTGGGCCACACTAGGCATTATTTGGGGCCGCAAGATTAAATTAATCAAATTATTCATTTGTATAATATTTGTAGCAGCTGATTGAATTAAACGAAGATTAACAGAGAGTTCAATTCATTAAGGGGCTCAATCAAAGAAGATTGTAGGATTTTAATCATTTCAAAGGTTCTGAAACGATGTTAGGTTACGATTTATTTAAGAGGAACAATTAAAGAAGATTTCAAAACTTTTATCATTCTTTTCAGGTTACGAATCGATATCGAATCAAAGACAATTATCTACGACTCTCGAAAAACTATAGTTGAAGGTATCAACCTACTTTAATATATCAGCGATACCTTTTGCCATAGTCATCAAGTGCCGTAGAGAATTGGCAAATGAAAAACCTAAGAATCTTTTCAAGTTATAAATCAGTTATCAGATGAAAGACAATTTTCTACGACTCCTGAACAATTATAGCCGGAGGTATATATTTCGGCAATACATTTTGCCATATATAGTTATCAGGTACCGTAGAGAATCGGCAAATTCAATCCCTAAGAAAGGTTATAACTCAATATCAGATGAAAGATAATTCTCTACGACGGTATCAGTTATAATTGATAGTTTCCTTCCATCAAAGACTTTGAGATATGCATAACCAAAAATATTAATTAATTTTTTAATATATTATTTACTTGAAAAACAAGGTAAATAATTTACTTACCTAATATGTGGGTCACATAATTCTCTCTGTCTCTGATAAACCAGTGTGTTAATATTCTTAAAACAATTGTCCAAGATTTAGGCAATTCATATATATATAATTAATAAAATAAGCTTACGAAATTTCCATACAATTTTCTTTAAAAGTATATTGTTTCAAAATTTTAAACACCTTTAAGAATGCTGCATTAAAATTTAATTTTTTTTTTTAAAAAAAAAAATTCTGTTAGTAGTTAAGTATGATTTGTTTTAGGTAAGTGGGGTTATATCTTGACTAGAACTAATAATCATAAGATTTTTTATTTAATCAAACAAAAGAGGAAACTGTTGTGAAATGCACACCTCCTACCTTGACATTTTCTGATTATAAAATTAAGATTTTGACTAATCTTATTGCACGATCAATTCTGATTTTCTAGTTATAATAAATTAATAATTAATACTAAATTATTTTCTTTTAATTTTTCGATGGACAAACCTTCCTACATAGGCCCTAGCTTAAGTCATACTGCCCTCAATGAAATTTGATTAATTAATATGTTTAAAATTTAATTTGTGAAAAATAAAATTATTATATAGCGATAAATGTGACGATCCGACGTGTCATCAATCACGTCACGTAAGTGCCACACCCCACAAAGTTGCCCATATTAAAAGTCTTACGAAGGAAAAAGACTAGTTCTTGTGGATGATTCTAGAAAAGTATCGAGGTTTTCATGGAAGAATAGCAAATTGCATAGAAGGTTCCTAAAATAATTCTAGTTATGTAGAGAGTTCTAGAAAAAGAATTTATTTGTAAATATGTAATAACTTGTTTAATTATTATTATTTACATATTAACGCCTAGGTTAGTAATATAAATAGAAATATTCATTTATAAATTCATTTAAGCAACCTTCCTAGCAATATAAAACTTTCCTTAGAAATTCTCTACTGTCTTTCTTCATTCTCTTATCGATTTAATTTGAAGGCTTATTTGAATTTATAAAATCGTGAAAATTCGTGAATAAATTGTCAAATGACGAACGGAGTACTTAGTAGAAGTCTAAAGTCGTGACATAGAGCTCTTATCTTACAACTTTAAACTTAAAAAGACGTTTAAAAAATTA